CAATCCCTCCTCCTGCCTCCCTTCGCTATCACTACAGGGCACCCCACCATGCTCCCAGGCCCCTGGCTCAAAACCTAGGAGTCATCTTAGATTCTTACTATCTCTCACCTCCCATATACAATTTGTTTCCAAGGCCTGTCAACTTTACTTTTGCAAAATCTCTTTAAGATGCCTCCTTCTCTCCTCTGACACTGCACCACTCTAGTGTTGGTCCTCATTACCTTGGATTACTTGAACTTACTTGGATTACTTCCTGCTGGTGCATCTGCCTGCTTCAAATTTCTCCCCTCCAATCCATCTTCCATTCAGCCACTAATATGATTTTCCTCAAGCCCTAGTTCAACAATGTCACCTGCCCCTCAGTAAACTCCAGTGGTTCCCTATCATCTCTAGAATCGAATATAAAATCCTCTGTTTGGCCTTCAAAGCCCTTCATCATAATTTAACACACACACACACACACACAACACACACACACACACCACACACCCACACCCCTTTCCAGTCTTCTTATACCTTTCTCTCTGCTCATCTTCTACCTTCGATCTAGTAACGACGGTCTCCTGGCCGGGGCAGCTAGGTGGCACAGTGGATAGAACACCGGATCTGAAGTCAGGAGGACCTGAGTTCAAATGCGGCCTCAGACTAAACACTTGACACTTACTAGCTGTGTGACCCTGGGCATATTGATCCCAACTGCCTAAAAAAAAAAAAAAACAATGGCCTCCCGGCTGATCCACAAATAAGGCCCTCAATCTCTTGACTATGGGCATTCTCTCTGGCTGTCCCCTACGCATGGGATTCTCTCCTTCCTCAACTCTGCCTACTGACATCCTTGGCTTCCCAGCTAAGTCCCAGATAAAATCCTATTTCTTACAGGAAGCCTTTCACAACCTCTCTTAATTTTAGTACCTTCCCTCTGTTAATTATTTCCTATATATATAGCTACATATAGCTCCTGTATATAGCTTGTCTGTACATATTTGTTTGCTTGTTATCTCCCCCATTAGAGACTGAAAGCTGTTCAAAGGCAGGGACTGTCTTCTGTCTTTCTTTGTATCCCCAGCACTTGGCACAGTTCCTGGAATACAGTAGGTGCTTCCTGACTGACTGAATTTCCTATTTGGGAAGATTAAAGAAGGATTTTTTTTTGGACAAGGCAAAACAGAACTATGGGTGAGGTTCTCACAAAGACAACAAACTTTTAAGGCTGAAAACCCACTTGCAACTGAAAAATTAATTAAAATAATAATCATAAAAATTTCAGAACACATCTAGGGCTCACTGAGTGATCTGACAAGGTGCAACAAGTTACAATATAGTATACAAGGAATGAATAAAATGCTGCTTTTAATTAATGTTGCATTCTTATTGAAACATAACTTTAACTTAAAATGCCAAGTTAAGAATCTTTCCCATGGCTTCTCTAAGTCCAGCCATTTAACGTGATTATCAGGGTAATTCAAATAGTTTAGGTGTTCATATTTAGAGATGCTGAGATGAAGGGATGAACTAAGTAAACAATTCATTTCTGTGACTTCAGGTCTCACAGCAAAGTGTCTTAAAATCATTTAGAAAACTCTGGGTCGACAGTTTTTAAAATTTATTTCTTTACCCAGCTGATCAATTCTAACTGTGTGCTATTTAAATCACAAATACACAATTACACACATCAAAATTGTGCTGGCCATCTTGCTGTTCCTCACAAAGGACCTCCAAGTGTCTTTTCACACTAGGAATGCTCTCCCTCTTCACCTCTCTCTCCTGGCTTCCTTCCAAGATCAGTTCAAATCCCACATCCTAAAGGAGGCCTTTCCCAGCATCACACACACACACACACACACACACACACACACACACACACACACACACACAAACATCCACTCAAGTGTGCATGTGCACACACTCCATTCACTCTAAGATTACTACCTACCTCAACCAGATATTTCTTTTATGTACATTTTTTTCCATGTTGTATCCCCCATTAAAGCTCTTTGACAGGAGGGACCACAATTTTGTTTTTCTTTGTTTCCCCAGTGCTTAGCAAAGTATCTGACATACAATAAGTGCCTAATAAATGTCTGTTGACTGACTTTTTATCCCAAAGTGGCTTTCCCCTGACAAGTTCCTGAGCCTCTCTCCCCTCACTGCCAGCTGTGTATGCTCAATGAATGAAAACTCATTTTAATGTTAGCCTAAGTGAACACTAATTAGGAAGGTAAATCTGCTGGAGAAAAAACTAGACACCATAAAATGAATTTAGAAATCACTAAGAACAACTACAGAACTGACTATTGTTTGGGGTACCCTCTACCACTGCTCTAATGTAATCATGGTTAATTGAAAATTGATTGTGCTTTTTAATCATTTATTCTTCTTCACAAACTTCTAATGTGATAAACTTTTTACATCAATGTAAAAATATTAAGAATCTGGAATATTTCCAAGAGAGAAAGAATACTGATTTGACCAAGGGTCATACATTGACCACTGAAAGGCTCAGAAAAAAACGCCTTCTTTAGGCTTTAACTGATACCCAGAGTTACAAAAATAAACACTTCTTTCTAATCCAACAGCCAGCATGTACCACTTATGCTGTTAGCACTGGGCTTTTTATGACCTGAACACATACAAAGAAGATACCTGTCCATTTCAGCTCTCAAGAAGTTCAGATTCGTTGGACAAACCCACTTCCAGATATTTAAAGCCAAGAGAGAATGACACCAACACCCCAGTGGCTCTGCAATTGCACTGGTATAGGCAGTACATCCAACAAGGCAGATTGCAACCCATCCAACCAAAGTTGCACTAATTACACATCTTCAGATATGTTCTGAAGTGACTTGAGTAAGGTTACTATGATCCATGAGCGCCATAGCCATTGCAGCTCTGAAGAGGCAGCATGGGTCAGTGGACAGAATGTTTATCTGAGAAGCTGTGGTGCAGTGGTTAGAGCACCAGGCCTGAAGTCACGAAGTCTGGAGTTCAATTTGGCCTCAGGTATTTATTAGCTATGTGATGCTGGGCAAGTCATTTAATCTTTGTTTACCTCAGTTTCTTCAACTATAAAATGGGGATAACAATACCTACCTCCAAGAGGTGTTGTCAGGATCAAATAAGACATTTGTAAAAAGCGCTCAGTACAGTACCAAGCATACAGTAGGTGTTGTATTATTCCCCTCCCTACCCTTCCCACTTCTGTCACATTATCTGTGAGACCTTTTCATTTCACCTTTCTATGCCTCGGTTGCCTGATCTATAAAATCAAGAGGTTGAAGGGGATGACTTCTAATGCCCCTTCCAGCTGTAAATCTATGATCCTAAGATCCCTGATCAGTGTCTTCTGTAGCAACCTTTCTCATTAGCACAAAGTTGAAGGTCTTCTTTTCCTCCTGCAGGGAAGCAGACAGGAACCCTATACAAGAGTCGTAGGCATTCGACATCACTATATTATCCATCCAACCTGCAAATGCATTCAAGCCTGATAACTTTGAGGCTTCATGTGTTCAACCTGCACAAAATGTTGACAGCAGGTCTCTGGAGCATCCCTAGTAATCCCCTACATTTTATGTACAAGCAATCCGTCATGTTTGTATCCCATTTATGCCATGTTCTAGCCAGGCATCAGAAACAATCTTCTTTTAAGTAAGCCATCAGATGTGCTCCCCTGTGAAGATCTGCAGGTGTACACAGCAGCCCCACAGCTACCCTCCTGCACACACTGACTGTGCCACTTGGATGACAGAAAGCCCTTCCCACAGTCTAAGTCCAGGCCTAAGTTGGTAGTGGGAGATCACAGACCAAAAAGGAAGATCTCTCTCCCCCAGTAGTCCTTCACATCATCCATAACCTACCCTTTTTTCTTTGTAATAAGCCTAAGCTTGCTCAGCAAATCCTGGCTAAAAATTGAGAGTTTAGTAACTCATTTTCAAACATCCCCCTTTCCAAGGATATCTCTGAAGGGCTTTAGGAAAGCCCCATCATTTCAGGCAGCTCACAAATACAACACCCGCACTGTCCTTCGACCAACTACCCTGTGTGCCCTCATCCCTTCCTCAGGGTACAAAGCAATATGTGAATGCTTCCAACCTTACCCCTACAACAGTCAGACAAACCACAGTCAGTAAAACAATACAGGTTATAAAAGTAACTTATTTGGTTCAGATAATAAATTCAAAGAAGAAAGATATTAACATGAACTAAAGTCAGCCATGATGGCTTCCCAGAGGACATGGGACTTGAATCAAACTTTGACTAATAGGTAGGATTATGAAAAGGGGGTGCAAACACTAAAGTGCCTAGTATGGTACCTGGTACATAATAGGTGCTTAATAAAAGTTTATTAATTGACTGACTGAATGCTGGGGGAAATAGTATGGACAAAGGCTCAATGGTAAAAATAAATATGAGTAATGCGTGGGTGAGGGGCAATAAGGAAAACAAAACTGGACTGATGTGTATACTCAGGGAAGCAGGGAGAGTTGTAACTGAATATAGGTATGAAAGGGGAAGACTATGAAGGACTTTGGACTTAATTAGTGGGAGAATGGCAAGGTAAAAGTTGTGCTACTGGAAGATTATTCTGGCAGTACTTTGCAAGACATGTAGAAAAGAAGATTCTAGAGTAGAGGTTCATAACCTCATGGGTATCACAAACCACTTTGGCAGTCTGGTGAATCCTACAGACCTCTTCTCAGAAGAAGCAGGGGAAAAAATAAGTGTAAAAATACAGGAAGGATCTTTGTTGCTGCTGTTAGAAACTGAAATCCTGAAGCAACAATAAAACTTAAAAATACATGAAGGATCTTTGTTGCTGCTGTTAGAAACTGAAATCTTGAAGTAACAATTAACTTCAAACATATCTGCTATCAAATTCTTAACAATTTCAGGTTTCAGAACAAGCTACCTACCCCAAATTCCAAACCCTAACCCATATGGAAAAATTTTTTATAGAAAAGAAATGTTAATGCTTAAGGATTGAAATTTCCAGTTTTACCTACCAGTGTTTATTTTTGAAGTCACATGAGTGACATCAACTTTCTGGGACCGGACGGGCAGCGTAGCACGTGAAGTAGAAGGTGTTCGTCCTATTGTCTTCTTTCGATCTGTAGCTTTACTTATCTTTGAAAGAGGTGCAAAAATGCCTAAAGGAAAATACAGGGTTTGAATCATTACTAAATATCAAATTTAGTACTTCAAATAAAAAGGCCAAATTCAACTATTTAGCATTATTATCTTATCAAGGAACATTTATTTAACACTTACTTAGTACCCATGTTGTGAATGACACAAGAAAAGTTTAAGAAGCAGTTCCTGCCTTCAGGGAACTTACAAAATAAGGAGGAAAAACTAACCACATGACACAATTTTAGAACACAGCAGTATACAGTCTGGCAATCAGTAGTAGGGTGCAAAATAAGTTTGGTAAAGAAAAAAAAATCAATGGAATTAAGCATTTTCAATAAATTATTTTGAAGGGGCAGCTAGGTGGCACAGTGAATACAGTTCTGGCCTTGGAGTCTGGAGGATCTGAGTTCAAATGTGGCCTCAGACACATAACACTTACTAGCTGTGTGACCCTGGGCAAGTCACTTAACCCCACTGCCTAACAACAAAAACAAAACAAAATTAAATAAACTGTTTTGAAGAAATTGTTCATTTAATGGTAGCACATTATATAAGGACCTTCAGAAGGCTTAGCCTTCTGTTCCAGTAGGGGAGTCTTTAAGCTTTGAATAGACATGCACATGTATACATATACATACATACACACACACATTATAAAATAGAAAATATAACAAACAGCCCCTTTCTTAAGATTAAAAAAAATCACCTCTGGGGTCTCTTGTTCACTAATACTGTTACTGCTAATTCTCCAAATTCCAAAATTCTGAATCTCTTTCCTGTCCAAGCTTCTAGTACACACTGAATCTTTCTCTTTTAATACCATCTCCCTATTCTATAACTCAACCTCCTTTGTAGCTATTACCAATTATGGTATCTTTCAGACTTAATCGTAGGACACAGTAGGGTTTTTCATAGTGTGTATTCTACATGGAACCTGACACACTACTTCACATATAATAAACTAACATTCGTTTATTGAACTGAATTAGACTGTGGTACTATCATGAGGTCAGAGTCAATCTGACATAGAGTCTGATCTATAACTTGCTAGCAGGTTTCCATTTAGCTGACATCAGCTATGATGGACACAAGTAGAAGTGTTCTTACGTCCTGCAGTTGAGTTGAAAAACACCTTGTATCTGCTTTCTACCAAGGGCAACCAAAATGACAAGTGAGAGTAGAAATGGCTCACCTACCAAGAGACTCTATTAATTGGGATGAAATTTATTTGGGGAAAATTTTTTTTGAACTTTGAAAAGTCATATACTATAGATGCTATGAGGTTTATTACAAAAGAAATGTAGGACGGTGTCTACAAACCCACTAAAGTAATATATAAAAAGAATTTAAATTATTGAATCTGAAAAAGCTTTACAGAATGAAGGGATCAAAGTAACATTGGAGTTTTCACATAAATTTAACTTAGTTTAGATTTCTGGATTTCCTTCCAAGAAGACTTTGAAGAGTTTGTTACTACTTTTGCAACCTTGCAAATGCAATACATAGATAAGACTCTAGCAAATAAATACCATTTGTCCAAGTAAAACATATTTTCCTCAACTTTAATGAATGGCTTCCAAGCCACTTCTTGGCCCTCTCCCCCCATATATCCCACACCTCCACCCCCATTTCCATACCCCTCTTTATGTGTTGTCTCCTCTATTACAACAGAAGCTTCTTGGTATCCTCAGAGCTTGGCAAAATACCTGGCAAACTGGCTGCTTCTACTATGTTCACCAACAAAGATTCAAAATAATTTAAGTATAACACCCTAAAAAAAAAAATAAACCAAAAGAATCCAAGTAGTCCACAAAGGCTTTAAGATTGTTCAATGGAAATTTGTGAATGGAAATTTTAAATAACTAAATAAATTTGGAATTATTAATGCTAATAATAATTGCTGGTATTTATACAATGTTGTAAGGTTTACAAAGCATTTTACAAATATTATCTCATTTGATTTTCACAACAAACCTGTGAAGTGGATACTATTTTTATACCAATCTTACAAATGAGGAAACTGAGGCACGGAGAGGTTGAATGTCTTAACCAAGTCATGCAGCCAATATCTGAGGTTGGATTTGAACTTTTTCTAAACCCTAGATTCTGCAATGTCTCCACTCTACTACCTAGTTGCCATTGATCTTAAGTTTTAAAAGTTGTAAACCTAAAACAGCAGAACTTCATCTTTCCAAGAGATCAAAAGCAGATAAGAGAAGCCCAAACCATTGAAAGCAATACGAGATCAAACTGTGCTATAGCCCACTTATTGTCATTAAATCCAAATACCCACCCCCAGCACATAGGTTCAGGCACATAACTGGCCCTATTTCTGAAAGAGAGGTAGCCTAGGGCCAGAAGAAGCCAAGTTCAGAGCAAGAATAAAAGAAGAGAGAAGGGTGTTGTAGATTAAGATTTAGGAGGATGAGAAGAGAGGAAAAGGGAGGAACCCTTAAAGAAGTGGGCAGAATAAGGAATAGGAGGGTTAGGGGAGAGGATACGGGAGATATTCTTTAAAAGGGTGTGGAACAGGGAGGTAATGGTTAGAAGTAAACTAGAGGAAGAATAGGGTAAAAAGAGAGGCTGAGAAGGATAATAGTGAGGGAAAATAGGATGGAGGGAAATACACAAATAATAATTATAACTTTGAATGTGGATGGGATGAATTCATCCATAAAACAGAAACAGATAACGGAATGGACTAAAAATCAGAATCCAACAATATGCTGCTTACAAGAAACACATTTAAAATCGAAAGATATACACCGAGTTAAAATAAAGGGCTGGAGTAGAATTATTATGCCTCAGCCAATGCAAAAAAAAGCAGAAGTAGCACTCATGATATCAGCAAAGTCAAAGTTAAAATACATTTAATTAAAAGAGATAAACAGGGACTACACTGTGATAAAAGGTACCATAGATAACAAAGAAATAGCAATACTAAACTTATATGCACCAAAAACCATAGCATCTAAATTTTTAAAAGAAAAGTTAAATGAATTGCAGATGGAAATACGACAGTAGTACTATAATAATAGGGGAACTTCAATTCCCCCCTATCAGAACTAGATAAATCTAACCAAAAACAAGGAAGTAATTAAGGAAGTAAACAGAAATTTAGAAAAGCTAGATATGATAGATATTTGGAGAGAACTGAATGGAAATAGAAAAGAATACACCTTTTTCTCAGTGGTACATAGTACCTTTACAAAGATTGACCACATATTAGGGCACAAAAAATGTATAGCTAAAAGCAAAAAAGCAGAAATATTAAATGCTTCCTTTACAGAACCACAATGCAATAAAAATTATATTTAATAAGGGACCATGGAAACATAGAAAAAAAGCTAATTGGAGACAAAACCTAATCTTAAAGAATGTATGTGTTAAAGAACAAATAATAGAAACAATAAGTAATTTCATTAAAGAAAATGATAATAATAAGACAACATATCAAAAACTATGGAATACAGCAAAAGCAGCAATGAGAGGGAAATGTGTATCTCTAAGTGTTTATATCAATCAAAAAGAGAAAGAGCACACCAATGAATTGGGTATGTAATTTTAAAAAATTAGAAAAAGAATAAATTAAAAACCCCCAATTAAACACTAAATTGGAAATCCTAAAAATTAAAGGTGAAATTAATAAAATTGTTTTAAAAAAACCATTGAATTAATAAATAAAACTAGGAGTTGGTATTATAAAAAAAACAATAAAATAGATAAAACATTGGCTAATATGATTAAAGAGAAAAAAACCAAATTACTAGTATAAAAAATGAAAAGAATGAATATACCACTAAAGAAGATGAAATATTTAAATAGACCTATTTTAGAAAAAATAATTGAACAGCCCATGAATGAGCTTCCTAAAGAGAAGGCACCAGGACCAGATGGATTTACAAGTGAATTCTATCAAACATTTAAAGACCAACTAATTCCAATATTAAATAAATTATTTAGAATAATAGACAAAGAAGGGGTCCTACCAAACTCCTTTTATGAAACAAATATGATTCGGATACCTAAACTAGGAAAAGTAAAATCAGAGAAAGAAAATTATAGACCATTTCATTAATGAATATGGATGCAAAAATCCTAAATAAAATACTAGCTACAAGATTACAATAAAATATTACAAAGATTATACATTATGACCAAGAGGGATTCATACCAGGAATGCAGGGATGGTTTAACATAATGAAAACTATCAGCATAATTGATTATATCATTAATCAAAGCAACAAAATACATATGACAATATCAACAGATGCAGAAAAAGCATTTAATAAAGTTCAACACTTATTTCTATTAAAAAAAAACACTTGAAAGTATAGGCATAAATGGACTTTTCCTTAATTTGATAAGAAGCATTTACCTAAAACCATCAGCAAGCATTATCTGTAATGAGGATAAGCTACATGCCTTCCCAGAAAGATCAGGTATGAAACAAAGATGCCCACTGTCACTAATATTATTCCATGCTGTATTGGAAATCCTATCTATTTCAATAAGAGAAGAAAAGGAGGTAGAAGGAATCAGAATAGGGAAAGAGGTAATATTTTTGCAGATGATATGATGGAAATCCTAAAGACTAAACTAAAAAAAATTAATTGAAATAATTAATACAAAGTAGCAGGATATAATGTAAACCCACATAAATCATCAGCATTCCTATATATCATCAACAGGATGCTGCAGGAAGATAGCTAGAGATACCCCACTTAAAATAACTCTAGATGGTATAAAATACCTGGGAATACACCTACCAAAACAAACTCAGGATCTACATGAACAAAACCATAAAAAACCTTGCACATAAATAAAATCAGATTTAAATAAATGGAGAAATATTAATTGTTCATGGGTAGGAAAAGCCAATATAATAAAAATCACAATTTTGCCAAAATTAATCTATATATTCCATGCCATCCCAATTAAATTACCAAAAAATTACTCTATGGAGCTACAAAAAAAAAGTAACAAAACTCATGTGGAAGAACAAAAGGTCAAAAATATGAAATAATGGAAAAAAATGTAAAGGAAGGTGGTTTAGCAGTACCAGATCTTAAACTATATTATAAGACAGTAATTATCAAAACTATCTGGTAGTGGCTAAGAAACAGAGTAGACATACAATCTACAGCAGCACATGAATATAGTAACCTAGTGTTCGACAAGTGTAAAGACTTGTGTTTTGGGGATAAGAATTCATTATCTGGTAAAAATTGTTGGAAAAGCTGGAAAGCAGTCTGGAAGAAATTGGAAGCAGACCAATATCTTAAACCATTTACCAAGAAAAGGTTAAAATGGATACATGACCTAGATATAAAGGGAGATATTAACAAGAAAATCTGAAGAACATGGAACATATTACCTATCGGATTTATGGATAGGTGAACAATTTCTGAATAAACAAGAGATATAGAGCACTGTGAGATGTAAAATGGATCATTTCGATTACATCAAATTAAAAAGGTTTTGTACAAATAAAATAAATGTAGCCAAAGTCAGAAGGAAAGCAGAAAAGACAGTTCCCCAGATAAAGGTCTCATACCTCAAATATATAAAGAACTTTGTCAAATCTGTAAGAATGCAAGTCATTCCCCAATTAATAAATGGTCAAAGGATATGAACAGGCAGTTTTCCGATGAAGAAATCACAACAATTTATAGTTCTATTAAAAAATGTTCTAAATCATTACTGATTAGAGAAATGCAAATTAAAACAACCGTGATATATCATTTTACACCTATCAGATTGGCTAAAATGATAGAAGGGGAAAGTGACAAATATTGGAGGGGATATATGGGAGGGGACATGGAAAAACTGGGACCTTAATTCATTGTTGGAGGATCTGTGAGCTGAACCAAGATTTGGAATTATGCCCAAAGAGTTATTAAACTGCCTACACCCTCTAACCCAGCAATACCACTATTAGGTCTGTTGTCCAAAATGATTAGGGAAAAAGGAAAAGAACCTATATGCTCTAAAATATTTATAGCAGCTCTCTTTGTGGTGGCAAAGAACTGGAAATTGTGGAGATACCCGTCAATTGGGGAATGGCTAAACAAACTGTAATATGGGTTCATGATGGAATATTACTGTGTTGCAAGAAATGATGAGCTCAATGATTTTAGAAAAGCATGGAGAGACCTCCACAAAATAACGAAGAGTAAAATGAGCAGAACCAAAAGAACACTGTATACAATAACAGAAGCATTATTTTAAGAACAACTTTGAGCAACCAAGTCATTGTGATTATTATAAATACACAAATTAACAGTGAAGATCCTTTGAAGGAAGATGCTGTTTAAATCCAGAAAAAGAAAATATGCATATACAGATTTGCGTCTAATGGAAACCATATTGAAGTGGGGGGGGGGGGAGGCGGGGAAGGAAGTTACATGATAACTTTGTTGTATATTTAAAAGGAATAGAAAGTTGTACATAATGGATTTGCAATTTCAGGTGCAATCCTCTGTTTTTCTATCCTACTTTGTTATAGAAATGTTTGCTTTATTTCTTAAGTTCAGAATAAAATAAATAAAATTTTGAAAAAGAAGAAGAGAAAACAGAATAGAAAAAAAATGGAGAGTAGAGCCAGAATAAAATAAGAGGATGAATAGAGTCTGTATTTCTCTTGACAATATGGATTTTCTACTCATCCCTGAATTATTCCCAGTCCCAACTATTCCAGAAGTAACACATAAGATCATTTTTCCTAGCAAATGATGCACCATCCACACAAACATACCATAAAGCTGTTAAATTTATAGTCAATTCCAAAGACTCTATCCATGGTACAAGAACTATTCCCCCAGCTAAAAAGAAAACACAGCCTTGTTCTACAAAGAAGGATTCTGTGTCTGTTGGAGTGGGGAACATTTAGTATGGATAACACAGAAAATCATCAATCCAGATAATGGAAAACTAACTGTAATTATAATATATTACCAATCTAGTGTAGGGACTCTAAATTGTTTTTGGTTGTTGTGAATTAAGTTAGATTAATATCTTACCGTATCTAGGAGGACATTTAAAGTACTGGACTTTCCCAACACTTCCATTATTCTTTCCTTCTGGTTCACTCAACTCAATGCCAGCCCATTGCCCACTGGCAAATTCAGTTGTACCACAAAATCTTAATATTCCAACCTATGGATATAAAACTAGATTAATTTTTGATAATTATAATTAATTCAGAAAAATGCCTATAACCAACTACTTTTCTTTAAGAGTAAAAATAAAATTCCATTCTGAAACATTATAAGACTACCTGAGATGACTGAATAGTAATCTGAATTAAAACTGTTAAGTTTATAATCTTTATAATTTGCTAACACTTTCACAACACACACATACACACAAATTTAAGCCTTGTAAGTAATATCTATCCTACCCCAAGGATAAGTTTTAAGTGAGATTTTTTTTAATGCCCTATTCTAAAGGGTATTTCTGGGAATCTCATCTCTGAGCACCTCTGGAAGGAATGTTAGCACAGAGAAGGGGATTCCATTTTAAACCTCATAGCAAAAAGGCTGCCCAATATCAAGAGCAGAGAGGCAGCTAGGTGACACAGTGGACAGAGCACCGGCCTTGGATTCACGAGGACTTGAGTTCAAATCCGGCCTCAGACACATAACATTTACTAGCTGTGTGACCCTGGGCAAGTCACTTAACCCCATTGCCTAGCCCCCCCCAAAAAAAATTAAGAGCAGAGAATAAACTCCCTTTTCTGAGAAAATCAGAAAATAGAGTACTGAAAAAAAAGGGGAGTTTTCAAGAGAAATCAAATGCCAAAGTTTACGTTGAGGAAAACACATCCTCCGCACAACATCCTTTATATCTAACATACATGATTTCCACATTTGTGGGGTTTCTAGAATTCTCCCACAAAAAACTCAGCACTTAAAATTCTTGTTGGATAAGGAGTAGGAAAGATATTATTTTTTAAAATGAGTAAAGGAAAATTCCCCCAAATCCTCCTCTATTCACATCAACCTTAATCCAATCTTCTTCCATCCAAGTGGCTATATTATTTCAATTAAAATTTTTAAACATAGTTTATGATTTTAAAATCTCTTTGTTACACTGCTATTCTCAACCAAATTTCACATTTTCTACTAGTTGTTTTTTTTAAAATAAATAGGTAATTTAATCTCAAATCCATGATACGAAGGCCAGAGAACATTTTATAGTAATTTGAATCACTTTACCTTCTGTCCTGCAATGATCACACGGTCTCCCAACTTCAGGCCCAATGATGTAAGTACGTTTTTGCCAGATGCGGGATCATAATTTGGAAGCGTGGCCTTTGAGACGTCACACAATAAAGGGACAGCACCCAGCAGCATTTGCTTGATTTGTTTAGCACTGGCAGCTGCATCTGCCATCTCTAATGGCATATCAACTGGGTCTGGAACAACATCAGCAGGCATCTGTCCTTTGTCATTCTACAGAGAATATTAAAAGACAAATGTCACAGCTTAAAATCAACTGAAAAAAGATATGCTGTGTCTACTTTATGCAAAGAACTGTTAGGTACTGAAAGGGATACAAATAAAAATGAGACATAGTCCCTATCCTCCAGTAATGTGTAATAAAAATAGAAACAGAAGAAAATAAACATTTTTAAATAGTCATTACTAAACCTCGCAACATTATTCTGTCACACAAAAGTAACTTTGGAAGAATTTAGAAGTTCACCTTTGCATTTCAGAAACAGGACAAAAATAGCCCAGAACATGCCCCTATATAAAGAATTTGAGTGAGGTCAGTGACAATGGACAAACTAAAACCCTAAAATGTCCCCATATCCTGGGCTCTTATCCTGGCTTTTCTGGGATTTTGAAGGGTATCAAAAACTCCCTCCCTTCCTCAGAATTCTTTCCTTCTGCCTTTAAATATTTTCCGGTTTTGTTATATGGGTTTTTTTTAATTATTCTAAAATCTCCCCAACTACTGTTGCTTAGAATTGCTTTGGTCAGAGTATAACCTATAATAAGTTAGGTCAGCTCTGGTCACAGATTTCCTCCAAAAGGTCTCCAACTCATAGCAACAGTGGAGGTGACCCAAGACAGAAAGGATTTTGGTTAGTAGGCTGAGACAGCTAAGAAGGTGGAAAGAGGACAGAAAGGAAAGGAAAGACTTGAGAGTATTAGTGAAGATGGTATTAAGAGAAGTAGTTTTAAAATTAAAATAAATCTTAAAATCAAAGAACTACTCTTAAGGTGCTTACAATGTAACAAGGTAGAAATGCCTATGTATAAAAATGACACCAGTAATATGTGACATATGGCATAAGATAGGGTAACCTGAAGACGACCTTGAACACCACACAAAAAAGGAAAATCCTAAAAAATTTCTGAGCAAAAATATGGCGTGGTCAATACAAAACTCTAGAAAAGTTAATGTAGCAGCAAATAAATGAATACATCCTAAAGGGAATGAGTAGCAGTAGAGAAACAGTGAGCAAGTCACTGCACACATGAGGTAATAAAGTCCTAAACTAATCAGTTCCTAACACTGAGTAAAATCAAACTACACAGGTATTTTGGATTAGGAACTTTCATACAATAATCATAATAGCCACTCAGCATTAGAGCCAAGAATTTAAAATACCATTTAATATTCCAAGAAACCAAAGAAGATAAAAGGAAAGCTTAAATATTTCAAACAATCAACTAACATTTATTAATCACCTCTTATGTGCCAGGCACTGTGCTAAGTGCAAGGGATACAAAAAGAAAGACAGGAGAATCCCTGGTATAAGACTTCTCAGGAGGAGAAATCCAAAGTGGCAAGAGTATGTATAATTATCACTGATGATAAGATGGAAGAGCTCAAAATATTTATGAAATCTGTGCATTTTTCTAATCAATGGCAGATTAAAGAATAATAAGGCTTCCTCTTTTTACAGACAAAGGAAATGAATCCCCATAAAGCTGAAATGATTCTCCCATGGTCACATCGCAAAGTAGCTGCAGAACTGAGACTAATATCCAGGTCTCCTAGACCCCACTCTAATGCTCTTCCACTCTACCATGCTTCCCAATTTCTCAATCGAGTTTCAAACCATGCTTTGCACATAAGAAAATAAGAAACAAATAGTAATGATAAGAACTCTCTTAATGCCTTAGGAACTACAGTCCAGGTTATTCCCTAAGGCATTCAGTAAAAGCCTGCCAAACCACTTGCCAAATACACGTTAAAAACCCATTCTTTCACTGGAATGCACAGTGTTCCCTCCTACCGCTGGAGACCAGAACCTCCCTGCACATCTGTAGATAATGTTCATAGTTTACAAAATATTCCTCAACAAACAGCCAACCTTCTGCGCATGAGGCTCTCTTAAAGCAATTATGCCAGGCTGGATAAATAGCACTGAGCCCACACTCAAAGTTCTTCCAGATTGACAGCATCTGTCATGGCTTGAACCGCACTGGCACATCCTTCAAAGACCTCCCAGGATCACCTCTTAACCATGAAAAGACATAAGCATAAAATACTACTACCACAGCCTTCACAAATGGATCTGAAGTGAGGGAATCTCAGGTTACATCCCAAGTCTACCATCTACTACCTATGTGACAGTAAGAAATAAGAGTAATAATATTTACGTAATGGTTTAATGGTTTACAAATATATCATTTTGCCGGGCCTCAGTTCCTTATCTGTGAAAAAAGAGATTGACTACATGACCTCAAAGGTCCATACCAACTACAAATCCATTATCCTACTAAATATAAAGTAAATGATTATACATATTGACCCAAAAGTACCTATAAGTATCCTTTAATTTAGATATTCTCATCCAAGAATAAATATCCAAGTGATTTCAAACTTATAGACTTTCTAAAAAAAAAAATTGAATATCATGGAGCTACAAAAAGGATTATACAAAACCTAGCAGCTACTACATTGAAGAACTATAGGTCTTGGAATACTATATACCCTACAGCAAAAGAGCTGGGGTTATGACCAAGGGCAACTTACCAAGCAAAGTTAAGTATAATCTTGAATGAAAAAACAATGGACATTTAGCAAACTCAAAGACTTTCAGGTTTTTGTGACAAAAACCCCAGAACTTATGGGAAAACTTGACATATAACACCCAGGAGAAATATAAGGTAAATATTAAAGACCAATTATAAAGGATGCAATAAGGTCAAATTGTTTACTTCACGTATGTAAAAATATCAACAATACTCATGATTGTCTTCATCGTTTGGGTAGTTTGAAAGAAGGCATGGGCTGAGCTGAGTGGGATGGAGTGGTTCTAAAAAACTAAAACTGTGCAGAGAGAGATAAAAAGGAGTAAGTATCTCATACAAATGAGACATAAAAGGAAAAACTGATACAAAAGAAGCTAATATGGGCATATGTATATCCTTCAAGGAGGACACAGGTCTCTTCTATGAAGTCGGACTCTTACCCTAAAGGCAGGATTTGCTCCATGTTCCAGTAAACACTTGACAGCCCCCGTGCACAAGTTAAATGCTGCAATATGCAGAGCTGTTCCAAAAGCAAAGTCACTGCATGTAGCATCCACATCTGCAATTAAACATCACAAGTGTGTTAACTCCTCATTCATCTATAGACATAAGAAAAAAACATTGCAGTATTTTATTTTGAAGAACTCTTTCATAATGATGAAATAAAATACAACCATCCTCCCTGAAAGACAGCTTCACCAAAAGGGAAAAGAACTCTGTATCACATCCAGCCGGACTCTCAATGGTCTGAACATGACACAATGAAATCCATCTGTCTGAGCAAAAGCTACAATGGGCTTTTTGAGAGTAACCAACAAAGCTACTCTTTAAGATCGTAAGCTCAAGCTGCTGAGCTCGATATATGCACTGCTCAAGCTCAATTTTGATTTTTCACTATTTCACATTTGTAAAAATAATGGAACAGGACTTCTGGTGCTAAGATGGCAAAGAAAGGAAGGAACCCTGTGAAGCCCTCCCAAATTCTCCAAACAACTAGAAAACAGCCTTGGAATTGGTCTAGAAGCAGGGAAGCAGCTTACTAGTAAGCAGGAAAGGTCTGTCTCACTGGAGTGGGAGAGGAGTGAGGTCCAAGAGCAGCAGCAGGAGCCAGCCTCACAGCAGGGGGCCTGCAGAGGCTCCAAGCCTGGGGCAATCCACCAGTGAGGCCCTCTTGTAAGTCAGCAGCCCCCTAGGCAAGTAAGCAGTCTGTGTAGCACAGCAAGGCCCCAAGCCCAGCAACTCACCCCCAGCACAAGCCACCAATGAGGCCTTGGCTCCATTGCTGATCCAGTAGTGAAGCCCCTCCCTGGGGCTAGCCAACAGTGAGACCCCATCCCTGGGGCCTGCCAGCAGAGAGACTCTGTTTCCATAGCAACCCAGCAGCAGGGCCATTCCCCTGGGGCACACCAGCAACAAGATCCCTCCTCCAAGGCCAGCCACCAAAAAGCTTCTGTTACCATCAGTAAAGCCCCACTCCTGGGGCAGACCAGCAGCTAAATCCCAGACTCAGGAGAGACCAACAAGGAGCTTCTAACCCCCAGCACAAGTCAGAAGGGAAGCCTACCCTCCAGAAAAAGCAAACAGCTAAGCCCTGAAGCCCAGTGAAAGCCAGCAGTAAGACCCAGAGCCCTAGCACAAAAAGCTTGGGACAGTGTATGACCAGAGCCCAACTCTCACACAAAAACACCAAGTCTCTCGGTCGGGGGGGGGGGGGCGAGAGGCAGGAAACATGAGCAAAAAAAAAAAGAGCTTGATTATGGAAAGTTAGTATGATGATAGGGAGGATCAAGGCATAAACTTAGAAGACTACAACAGTATCAAAATGGCTCCATGTGAAGCCCTAAAGAAAAACGTAATTTGGTTTCAGACCCAAAAAGAATTCCTGGAAGAGTTTTAAAAGGAGTTTAAAAAGCAAATTAAAGAAGAAGAAAAATTGGGAAAAGAAATGAGAGTAATGTAAGAGAATCATGAAAAAAGAGCCAATAGCATGGGACAAGATATACAAAAATTTACTGAGGAAAATAACTCCCTAAAAAATAGAATTCGGGGGGGCTGCTAGCTGGCACAGTGGATAGAACACCAGCCCTGGAGTCAGGAAGACCTGAGTTCAAATCCAGCCTCAGACACATAACACTCACTAGGTGTGTGACTCTGGGCAAGTCACTTAACCCCAATTGCCTCACAAGAAAAAAAAAATTGGCCAAATGGAAAAGTATAAAAGCCCACTGAAGAAAATAATTTCTTAAAAATTAGAACTGAACAAGTGGAAACTAATGACTCTATAAAACATTAAGATATGCTAGAACAAAATCAAAAAAGTAAAAAAAAAATGGAAGAAAATGTGAAATTTCTCACTGGAAAAACAAATGACCTAGAAAATTGATCTAGGACACATAATATAAGAATTACTGAACTACCTGAAAGCCATGATTAAAAAAAAAAAAGCCTGGATAACATCTTTCAAGAAATTATCAAAAGAAAACTGCCCTGATATATTAGAACCAGAAGGCAAAATAGAAATTGAAAGAATCCACCAATCGCTGCCTGAAAGAATCCAAAAGGAAAACTCTCAGGAACATCGTAGCCAAATTCCAGAGACCACAGATCAAGAAAAAAGTATTACAAGCAGCCGAAAAGAAACAATTCAAATATCATGAAGCTACAAAATCAGGATTACACAGAATTTGGCAGCTTCTACATTAAAGAACTAGAGGGCTTAGAATACGATATCCCAGAAGGCAAAGGAGTTAGGATTACAACTAAAAACCATCTACCCAACAAAACTGAATATAATCTTCCAGGGGGAAAAAAATGGCATTTAACAAAATAGAGGACTTTCAAGCATTTCTAATTAAAAGACCAGAGCTGAATAAAAAAAATTTGACCTCCAAGTACAAGACTCAAGGGAAACATAAAAAGGTTAAAAAAGAAATACAAATAGAAAACATAAGAAATTCAACAAGATTAAACTGTTTATATTTCTATATGGCAAGATATTTGTAACTCTTTAACAACCTTATTACTATAAGAGCAATTAGGAGTATATGTGGACAGAGGGTATGGATATAAAGTGACTTAGATGGGATGATACCCAAAAAACAAAATAACAAAAAGAAAGGGGTAAGAAAGAAATTGCACTGGAAGAAGGAAGGGGGAGACTGAATGGAGTAAATTATCCCACATAAAAGAGGCATGAAAGAGCTATCATAATGGAAGGGAAGATTGGGGTGGGGAGGTGAGCAAAGCTTAAAACCTTACTCTCATCAAAACTGGCTCAAAAAAATAATATACACACTCAGATAGATACAGAAACCTTTCTTACCCTATAAGGAAATAAAAAGGGACAGGGATAACAGAAAGGGGAGAGTGGACTAATAAAAGGGAGGGTATGTGGGGAAGGCAGTGATCAGAAGTAAAACATTTGTGAAGAGGGAAAGGATGGGGGGTAAGAGAGAAAGGGGGATAAATAGGTGAAAAATAGCATGGAGGGAAACACACAGTTACCCTAACTACAAATGTGAATGGGATACATTCACCCATTAAACAGAATCAGCTAGCAGAATGTATTAAAAACCAGAATCTTACAATATGTTCGTTTACAAGAAACATATTTGAAGCGGAGATATACGCAGAGTAAAGGTAAGGGGCTATAGCAGAATCTATTATGTTTCAGCTGAAGCAAAGAAAGCAGGGGTAGCAATCATGATTTCAGAAAAAGCAAAAGCAAAAATAGATCTAATTAAAAGAGATAAAGGAGGAAACAGCATCTTGCTGAAAGGTACTACAGACAATAAAGTCATATAAATACTAAATATGCCAAATGGTACAGCATCTAAATTTTTGAAGAAGTTGGATGAGTTACAGGAGGAAATAACATAATAAAACTCTACTAGTGGGGGACCTCAAATTTCCCCTCTCAGAACTACTAGATAAATCTAACTAAAAAATAAACAAGAAAGAAGTTAAGGAGGTGAATAAAATTCTGGGAGAGTTAGATGTGACAAATCTCTGGAGAAAATTGGATGGGAATAGAAAGGAATATACCTTTTTCTCAGCAGTACATGTTACCTACACCAAAAAAAAGGCCATGTATTAGGACATAAAAACCTAATAACTAAATGCAGAAAGGCAAAAATAGTAAACACATCCATTTCAGGTCATAATGAAATAAAAATTACATTCAGCAATGGATAATGGAAAGAGATATTAAAAATTAATTGGAAATTAAATAACATAATCCTAAAGTACAAGTAGGTCAAGGAACAACTCAAAGAAATAATCAACAATTTCATTTAAAAAATGATACCAATGAGACAAGATACCAAAATTTATGGGATGCAGCCAAAGCAGTACTTAGGGGAAAATTTATATCTCTAATTACTTACATCAATAAACTAGGAAAAAAAGCTGGCCAATGAATTGGGCACGCAACCGAAAAAAAAAAAAACTAGAAAAAAAAGTTTAAAATCCCCAATTAAACACAAAATTGGAAATCCTGAAAATCAAAGGAGAGATTAATACAATTGAGAGTAAGAAAAGCATTCAACTAATAAATAAAACGAGAAGCTGGTTTTATGAAAAAAATAATAAAATAAACCATTGATTAATTTGATTTAAAAAAGTAAACAAGAAATCTAAATTACTAGTATCAAAAATGAAAGAGGTGAATTTACCACCAATGAAGAGGAGATTAAGAGAATTGTTAGGAGCTATTTTGCCCAATAATATGCCAATAAAGTTGACAATCTAAATGAAATGGATGAATATCTACAAAAATATAAATTACTCTGGAGGGCTTGGAATATGATATTCAGAGGTCAAAGGAACTAGAATTACAACCAAGAATCACTTACCCAGCAAAACTGAGCATTATTCTTCAGGGCAAAAAACGGATATTCAGTGAAATAGAGGACTCTCAAGCATTCTTGATGAAAAGACCAGAGCTGAATAGAAAATTTGACTTTCAAATACAAGACTCAAGAGAAGCATGAAAAGGTTAACAGGAAAGAGAAATCATAAGGGGCTTATTAAAGTTGAACTGTTTACATTTCTACATGGAAAGATGATATTTGTAACTCATGAGACCTTTCTCAGTATTAGGGTAGTAGAGGGAATATATATAGACAGAGGGCACAGGATGAGTTGAATATGAAGGAATGATATCTAAAAAATAAAATTAAAGGGTGAGAGAGGATTGTACAGGGAGAAGGAGAAAGGGAGAGGTAGAATGGGCTAAATTATCTCACATAAAAGAGGAAAGAAAAAGCTTTTACCATGGAGGGGAAGAAGGAGGAGGTGAAAGGGAATGAATGAATCTTACTATCATCGGATTGGACTTAATAGGGAATAACATACACACTGAATTGGGTATGGAAATCTATCTTACCCTACAGGAAAATAGGGGGGAAGGTGATAAGAGAGGGGGATGATAGAAGGGAGGGCAAATTGGGAGAGGAGGTAATCAGAAGCAAACACTTTTGAGGAGGGACAAGGTCAAAGGAGAGAATAGAATAAATGGGGGTGGGATAGGATGAAGGGAAATATAGTTAGATTTTCACA